ATAATTCAAAACTCATTACAAACTGAAACAATGCATCTCATAATGTCTTACTGTAGCTGTGCCTGTGACCGTCTGGCTGCTGGACTCTGACCCGCCCTGATCATTGTGGCTCTGCGAGGACTGGTACATGTTGAGTGGATGCTCACTAATGGAGGCCTGGACCCCAGTGTAGTCCGGTGGTGCCGCTGGGTGCTGGTGTGGATGTGGGTGGGAGTGTGGATGTGGATGTGGGTGTGAAGCAGTGAATTCAGCTGGAATGCCGTTCTGGGGTGCAGGGGCAAACTGGGCTGATGAGTAAGCCTGGGCCATGGATGAGTCCGGGGGTGCCGGTGTGTCCTGGTTACCCTGTATGAACAAAGAGATTTACTTTTTAATTTAGATCACATAAACATTCCATCTGTATAAAGTATGACTCATGTCTTGTTTTCCCCAACTAAACATCCCTTTAGATTCTTTTTCAAAAATGCAATCTTGTGGTATTGCCATTTCATCTTGGTAGCGTAGACACTAAACAAGGTAATGTGCATTAGACGTCTGGGGGTTTCATACTACTTGACTGCTTGGATTTAGGCTGAGTATATTCTTTAAATAAGTTTCTCTTCTAGAATACTCTTGTATCTGCTGTCTTGGGTTATCTAGATTGGTTGTTTGTACTGTTTTGTCTTACCTTGAATTGTATGAGCTCGTTTCTAGATTTAGTTTCACTCAAGTGTTTAAAAGTTAAAGAGAACAAGTTAAAGTGGTTTAATTTGATTCCAATTCTGTCAAGGGGCTAAGTTCTATTTTACTTTCTACCCATGTGGTAAATAGACTTTGTTCTTAATCAGTTTTTTTGATATATTAGGTGATTTTGTTAAACTCACCTCTGATAAAGGTGAAAAATGTCTTTTGCTGTTGAGCTGTGCTGAGTTTCTATTGCTGGGCCATTACCACCAGGTGCTTGATTTGACCCATTTACAGGGGGTGTGATCAGCACTGCTGTAGCCAACCATCATTGACCTCTATTATTTGAATATGTGTACACTTTGCTCGCTCCTGTTCACAGCATTACCGTAACCTTTCCTCTCTTATCTATTCCACCCATTCCACACATACCCAACACTTGTCACATGGGGCCTCCCGAACTGCCAGTCAGCTACCCACAAGACATACTTCATCTCTGTCTTTGCTACCCAGCAATCACTTGACTTCCTAGCTCTCACTGAAACCTGTATCACACCGGCCAATACATCCACCCCTGCTGCTCTCTCCTCTGCCTACTCTGTCACCCACAAACCCAGACCCACTGGTAGGGGTGGTGGTACAGGTTTACTCATCACCCCCAAATGGAGTTTTTCCCTCTTCCTGCTGCTACATTTTTTACCCTGTCGTCTTTTGAATTTCACGCAGTGACAGTTACTCATCCGGAACAATTAAAAATTGTTGTTCTCTACCATCTACCAGGTCCTTTGGGAGATTTCTTGGAGTAATTAGACGTCCTTCACTCAAACATTCCAGAAAATGGCCCTCCACTTGTCCTTCTTGGTGACTTCAACATCCAGTCAGAGCCATCTGACGTACTCACTTTTCAGTCTCTTCTGTCCTCTTTATCTGCCTCTATTCCTGCAGCCAAAGACACTTTTTACCAAACCAAAATTCAACCCTTATTTTCCGACCCCAAAACTCTTCTCGATCTTTTCCAACCTCCTTGACCCCCCCATCCCTTTCTTATTTCCACCATTCTACCAAGCCACTTTGTCAACTACTTCATAAAAAGGTAGATGACATATGCTCCTCATTTTACATTGTAATGTAATTACACCTTCTGTAATTACATCTCCATCAACTTCATCTTCATCCCCTTCTCTTTCCCTTTTTACCCCTCTGTCTCCCAACCAAGTTCTTACCCTGATATCCTCTGCCCGCCCAACCAACTACGCCGTTGACTCCATCGCCTCTCATGTTCTCCAGTCTATTGCTCCCGACCTTCTTCTTTTTCTCACCCATCTCATTAACACTTCCCTGCTAACTGGTTGTTTCCCTAACTCTCTGAAGGAGGCAAGAGTAAATCCTCTCCTGAAGAAACCCGACCCTCAACCTGTCTGAAGTATGAACTACAGACCTGTCTCTCTTCTTCCCCTCTTTCCAAAGCTCTCAACCGAGCTATCTTTAATCAACTCTCCTCCTATCCTTACCACAACAACCTTTTAGATCTTCACCAGTCTGGTTTCAAGGCAGGCCACTCAACTGAGACTGCCCTCCTTGCTGTCTCTGAGCAACTTCACACTGCTAGAGCAGCCTCTCTCTCCTCTGTCCTCATCCTTCTAGACCCTTTCTGCTTCATTTGACAAAGTTAACCACCAGATCCTTATTTCCTCCCTTCAGGATCTGGATGTCTCAGGTCTCTCCCTGCTCTCATCCTACCTCAATGACTGCACTTACCGGGTAACTTGGAGAGGATCTGTGTCAGAACCTTGTCATCTCACTACTGGGGTCCCTCAAGGTTCTGTCCTGGGTCCTCTCCTCTTCCCTCTGTACACCAACTCTCTCTGCTCTGTCGTTCACTCTTTTCCTATTAAAGCTACGCAGATGACTACCAACTAATCCTCTCTTTTCCCCGATCTGAAACACAGGTAGCAGCACAAATCTCTGCCTGTCTGACTGACTGATCTCTCCGTGGATGTCTGCACGCCACCTTAAAATGAACCTTGACAAGACCAAACTACTTTTAATTTCAGAGAAAGGCTCTCCCTCCCATGACCTGACTATTACCTTTGAAAACTTCATGGCAACCCCCACCTCCAGAATACAGCTGTTCGAGTAGTCTTTAACTTACCTAAATTCACTCACACCACTACTCCGCTCCTCTGCTCCCTTCAATGGTTACCAGTGGCTGCCTGCATCCCTTTCAAAACACTAGTACTTGCGAACCGTGCTGTGAACAGGTCGAGTCCGGTCTACATCCAGGACATGGTCAAACCTTACACCCCAGCCCATTCCACTCTGCTCTGCATCTACCAATCAGCTTGCTGCTCCCTCACTGCGAGGGACACCTAGCCACTCAACAAAATAATGACGTTTGCTGTTCTGGCTCCTAAATGATGGAATGAGCTCCCCATTGACATCAGGACAGCAGAAAGTCTACACATCTTTCACAGCAGACTAAAGACACATCTCTTCCGAATACACCTTGGATAATATATATATCTATAAGTATATAAATTCTTGCATTTATATAATACTTACATGTAGCACTGACAGTTTGGCTTTTTTTAAGCAAATTGTATTTACTTGATTCTTGTTGTCCTGGGTTTGTACCTTAACGTTTGAATGCACTTATTGTAAGTTGCTTGGACAAAAGCGTCAGCTAAATGAAATGTAATGTAATGTTGGTGGAAAATGTCACCAAAAAAACTGAATGGATTCACACTGGCCCGACATTTTTCATCCCTAGAGAATTAATGACTCCTGATTTTATATTTTTGCACCACTGGCTGACTGACATTTTTAAAGGTACAGTGTGTAGAATTTAGTGATATCTAGTGTTGAAATTGCATGTTACAGCTAATTACCACTCACCTCACCCTCCTCTTTCAAACATGAAACATAACCTGTGGTAGCTTCAGTTTACATACAAATTCAAAAGGTGTTTAGTTTGTATGTAAAAAACATGGCGGCCTCTGTAGAGAGGACCCTCTCCATGTAAATATAAAGTATTTAAATATAATGGGGATTTCACCTTCTGATATTAAAACTCTTCATCTTGTGCCACCATCAGGTCAAAATTTCAACTTTTTATGACCAACACATTTCTTGGCAACATTACAAAGAGGGAGCAAACAAGAATGGAGAGACATCATCATATTGTTTTCCATTACAGCCAACACTGAATATTGTTAGTGGAGCTGTTTTTACAAAATTAATTTAAAACAAAATCTTTGTCATAGATTGCCTCACAGTTACATTAGCGCATTAAACAAGTGTAAACACAGTGTGTGCTGTGCAAAGAGGAGTACAATTTGGAATGGCAAGCTTTAATGTACAATGTAAAATCTTTACAGTACATTTGTGTCTTGTTTTTTAAAAAAAATTCACTACCTGAAAAAAAACTGTCTCAATGAGAAATGTAGTTTCAGCTGACTGTGGCTGGGATTTATGAAAAATGGTGGAAGCAGTTGAAGAAAGAACGTTAATGTGCTCCCAAAACACTTAGTGTATGTGAGAGAGGTTACTCCTGTGGGACATTTATATCCCAGCCATTACAGAGAGAGAGAGAGGGAGAGAGTGACAGAGAGAGAGATGAAGCCATATGCAGGAAAGAGAGGGGGTGCAGACAGTGAGTCTTGGCTAAATGCTCTGCTGTGTAATGAGAACCACATTTAGAAGCCTGAAATATGCTTTACGTGGCAAAGTGCTGCACACACACACACACACACACACACAGGCGACTCACGAAATACAATTTTAATTCTGAAAAAGAGCACAGAGTGTTTATGGGAATAAAAGTGTTTACATGAGTGTTCTTGTTTTTTCGTCATTTCTCAGAAGACAATTAGGCAATCACCTCTACTTTGTCTCCTGTGTTTTAATCGAAATGACTCTGTTCCTACTTGTTTGATTGACTATATTCCTTCTGATACCATCAGACTTGACTCAAAGCAGAGATTTTGGAGATTTTGTTTAATCTGCTCTCTATAAAACTCAGTGGAACTCTACCAGATGTTTGAAAGAATTCCAGATTTCTCAGTGACTTTTACTTAGAGTCATTGTTTAGTGCAACCCATTTTATAAACTGTAATATTTGGCTAAAAAACAACCTAGCTCTCGAGCCTCTGACCGTCCAAACCTTCACTTTTTGTCATGCCTTTCACACATGTTGATATAAAGTGCTGGGGTGTAAAATCTTCTATTGTATGTATTGTCTTCTTTGTTCAGGGTTATTTATGACAATGGCCTGCCAATGGACTGCAGACAAAATGCTTTATAGAAAAAAACAATTTCATGTGTTTTCTGAGAGTGAGATCATAAGGCTCTGCTAAACATGTAGCGGACATGGTTAGCTTAGCTTTGCATAAACAGTGGAAGCAGAGGAAACACCTACCCACAGTAATACATTTGACCCTGTTTGTCTTATCCTCACTCAAAGAGGAAGGACAATTTGTGGTTTGTGGTTGTTCTGTACTGGAACCTGTGCTCACTGACTGAACCTGGAGACAAGCAGTAGGCTACAGCCATAGACCTACCAGGCTGGTAAAGATCTGTGTCATAGTTAAAGGTTTTATCTCGGACATTTTAAACAATAATGTCACATCCAACAACACTTTTCACCTTTGTAAAGAGACCTTATATATGTCCTGAACAGAAAA